TGAGAGAGATTTATATCAAAATTCTTCGAAATACAATGTTGTCCCACGATTGTCATATTTTCAGGGTAAATTCTAAGAAAAAATTCTCTCCGTGTAATATATATGAATAATCCTGCGTGGTCTACAATGGATCGACATTAAAGAATGTAATATGTTATATATGTATAATGTTATATAAATTATTTGTCAATTATTATAGAAGATTAATATGTCAGAAGATTTTATTAATAGCTTCTTTAGGCTATTAATAAAATACTGTATATTATAAAATTATTAAAAAGTATTAGAAATAACTAAATATAAATAAATCACAAGATAGTATAATAATAAATAAAAATAATTATATAAAGTCATGTAAACGTAAGTTCTGTATCATATTTCGGCTTTATGATTAATTGGATCAATGCTCTTATATTATGTCTTCTGCTGTGTACCAAAACCATTTTTTAATTAAGTCTATGAATACCTCGAGATATACTTTACGCTGTATTATCAACTTTTGAATTTCAGATAAAATATCTGAAGTTAGATTGAAATTAGCTGAGAATGTTTTAACCTGAAACAAAGTAATTCAAGATATTGAATAGTAATTTATTTTTATGTAGCAATTAAGTAAAATACAACTTTTAATTTAATTAATTAATTAATTAAATTTATTATTTAATTTTTTATTATTTAATTTATTAAATCTTAATTTTTAATTTAATATGATATTGACGATATTAAGATAAGTATACAATATGTACAAATAATATAGCATATGCGTATATGCTGTAAAAATATTGTTTTTATTTGAGGATTATCTTCGTGAATCGGACAATTTATTAATTTGCAAGAATAATTTTCTAGGAGGAAATTTTTCTAAGTTATTATTATTATTTTTTTAAATTAAATTTAATTGAATCATCAATCTAATATTAATTCATGAATTAACATTAAAACAAAAATTTGATTTATATTTTGAAGCACACCCTGTTATTACTTAATTTTGCAATGTGGTTATCCTCAAAAGTAAAAAATTACTATCTAAATGTTTAAACACTGATTAACATTAATTTAATTATATAAAATTAATTTATAAATTTCATATGACGAACAGTTTTCATTTCAAGCGCACCATAAATAAGTTCATTAAAGCCGGCGGTACACAATGCTTGTCTTCTTGTTGGATTGCTAGCTTGATTCTTGCCACCATATTGGCTGCGATGTTATAGCATTGTCAATACTGCAGCATAGACTTATAAGATACAGACGGAGCGTTCATACGAAAGAAGCTGAAGACAACATTGAAGGATAGCTTTACTTTAAATATAGTATATAGTTATTTCTCTCTTTTACAGTGAACGGTGGGGAACCAATCAGTTTGAGCGTAAGGCCACAACTCAAATAGCGTATTCGATTTACTGACTCGACCCGATTCCGAGGCAATAGTCTGTTCTGTTTAGCTGCAAAAGAAGAGTTAAATTGTGTAAGAAATGCAGCTAAAAAGAACAGACTGTTGACTCAGAGTCGGGTCGCGTCAGTAATCGAATACGCTATAGAGGAGTTGTCTATTTTGTCGAAGTTGTTCTCGGCCACTCCCCGGCTTGCCGCGGCGACCAATGAATTCACTACTAGAAAAGAAGAGGACTACACCGTAATTATATTTCTTTCTTTCTATCAAGTTTTCAAAAGTTTTCAGCTTCTCTCATCCGTCTATCTTATAAGTCTATGTACCGCAGCCAATGCGATACAAGATTCTAATCCAGCTAGAAATCCAGCGGAAAAAAAGCATGTGCCGCCGACATATAATATAGCAGTAACACTGCAACGTTATAAAAGTGTTGCTGCAAGATTCTGTGCTGTTTGGACTAATGCACTATTCATATATATGTATAGGCCCGTATTCAGAACGCGCTTTTATCGATAAAAGCGCACTTTTATCTCTGAAATTCTATAATATGCGTGACGTAAAGTATAGTATGTTAGCGTGCTAACATCGTTGTAAGCGCGTTCTGAATACGGGCCATAGTCTATATATTAGGGCCCGTATTCAGAACGCGCTTACAACGATGTTAGCACGCTACATACTATACTTTACGTCACGTATATTATAGAATTTCAGAGATAAAAGTGCGCTTTTATCGATAAAAGCGCATTCTGAACACGGGCCTAGGTTAATATAAGTATGTAAATCCAGAATCATAAAATTTACCTTATCAACTTGTTCTTTAGTATAAATATTTTCAAGAATAAATTTTATTACTTCAAGCGTAGTAAATAATCTATAAAAACAAAATAATATAATTCTTATTAATAAATTTTTACGAATAAGAAAAAATACAATATGCATTTATAAAAGTAAATATTATTACATGGGTTTTATAACCATAATGTTTTTTAATATGTAGTCGAGAATCGTATCATTGCGCACATGCTTTTCAAGAATGTACTTGAAAATTAATGAATGCTCATCTCTGGGAAATAATGAAGCATTTCTGGCTATATTTAAATAATTTATGATAATATCAGGATCTTCAGCGCAACTCAAACCCGAAAATAAGCTTTCATCATAATTTTCTCCTTTTTGTTGTAATTCTTTTTTTAGATATAACTCCAACATTTTATCCCAAGTAGTCCTATTGGCTGCCATCATACCAGTACAATACATAAATAATGGAATTCTAAAAAAGTAAGTATATACATATTAATAGGAAGTAGTACATGCATTTTATACCTATAGTCGACTCTCTATTTTTTAAAGTTACATATTAATTTTTTCGTTCTCATTTTTTATAAAGCAATTATTATTTTGTAAAATTAAATTTCCTTTCTGCACTATTCTCCTACATTTGTAATGTAGAATATTTGCCACGTCATTACATTATCATGCTGAGATGCGTTCCAAATTTTGACTCTGTCTACTCCGAGTACCTTTTATCCTTGTTCATCATTCAATGGACAATAAGGATAAAAGATACTCAGAGTTGACAGAGTTAAGTTTTAGAACGCACCCCTGTAGTATATAACATTTGACGGAAGATGCATAGGTAATGCCTTTCGTCAATTTAAATTGTTATATATTTTCGCTTATACACAACGGCATATTTATTATGTTATACGATATACGTCATTAGAATAAAAATGGACTTCCGGGAAAAAGAGTAAGGATGATATTTGATTTCGATGATTTAAAGAAATAGAGAATCGGTTTTAACATATCCATATGCACGCATGAGCATGCACGTGTTACAAATACAAGTTATGAGATAATCGTAAGTATGAAATTTACTTGTGAATTTCATTGTTAGCGAGATATTCACTTAATTTAAGTGCGGTTATTTTCTTACATCCCTCATGACCAATAAGACATGCCCATTCTAAGGCTTTACTCCTTGTTAGTTTTGTGATGTAATCATCATTAAGATCTTCTTCATATCCTATGTAGTAAAAAAGCCTACTAAAGAGTTGCTCGAAGCGTACCTAGAAATTATAAAGTAATTAACTTAATTATTAAGTATTGATCCTTTGATATACACTTGTGATCTACATATAAGGATATACAATTTTGTTAGCGTTTTATCAATACATTAACATCACATGAGCATCAGTGAATTTGTGTCCAACTTTTACTAAAAGTATTAGGAAAAGAAGGTTACTGATAATAGACGTTATTGCACTTATTTATACTTGCGTATGGTATATATGCAAGTATATATATATATATATATATATATATATAGTGTATATTAGTAATTCAAGATTGAATTATTTAAAGCAATGAAGATCCAGCTTCGATCGTAATAGGCATTTTAAATTTCTAGTATTGATTGTGCTTCTCACATATGCGGTATAAAATAAAGATTCTTAATATTGTTAATATAATTTATATTACACATATTACGCCATATTGTTTCGTTATATACTTATGATAGCGATTTTAATATTTATATATGTTGGCTTTAAAAAAAAGTTCATTGATTTTATAAAATTGCGGCCAATTATAGTACTATACTAGTAATCCGAAAAAATTAGAATATGCGCATTATATTTTATATAATTTTAACTGTTTGTACGTTACCTTGATATGTCTGACCTCTGGGAATAAAAGAGTCTTTGCCATAGTTTCTACAATTTGAAATAATGGCTGCCAAGCTACGTAATCTCTGTCTATAGCGAGATTACTTATCAATTGCATGAATAAGTCTACATTTGTTTCATTATTTATTACTATGGCAAACGAATCAATAATGACTTGAGCGCGATTAAGAACGTGTATATTCGTATACTCTTTGCTCTTTAAGTAGTGCAAAATTTTTTTCCAATTCGTGACATCGTAAGTAACACAATAGTATCCTGTCGCATTATTCGTTATATTTATTACTAGATTGAATTTATCAAAATGTATCTTCAAATATCTATATTTTATTTTTTCTTAATGTAACAGCCCGGTAAAAAAAGTTATATGTATATACGGACATATTTTATATACAGAGTGTTTAATCATTAACGATAAAACTTGCATAGCGGCAGAATGGACTAATCACTAAACTGAGTCAAAAAGTTCTTTACCATTTTGCAATTTTCGCAATGGTTAACCAGATATTAATTTATGAAAACATTTAACCAAATTCTGCCAACCTTATACCGCCAAATGCAAGCGGGCGAAATAAGACCGCCCAGTAATATTCGCCGTCGTTAGACACGTTAATGCCAATCACTAAGTTTCCACTGAGGGTTCAAACGAGGTCAGAGTGCAAAAACCGACCAACTACGGTCGAGCATTCCCCTCTCATTTGATTGTAAGAGGCGAATACTCGACTGTGTGTGTGTGATTAGTCAATTCCCAAACTATAATTATATATGAAACATTTTTTCCCGGGAGTGAATGTATTGTATATAAATATTATAAAGAAGTATGAAAGTTATGGATTAAAAATTCTCAGACAAGTTCAAAATCAAGAACATAAAACGTTTTAAAGATGTCTTAAAAAGGTGTCATTAAGACATTATTTAATGATCTTTATTGAAACATTTTATGTTTCATTTTTGGATATGCTTGTAGTCTAGATTATTTTACATTAATTAATATTTGGGAAAATTTTGAAGAATTTAATTATTCAAATATTCTTTATGCTTTTACAAATAAAAAATACATAAAATTGAATGATATAGAATTGTAGAACTTTCGTGATAATAGAAAAAATAAAATAAATAAAAACGTGTAAATTTGTTTATCCATACTTACCAGTTTGTTGTAAATTGACAATAATCCAATCATCTGGGTTAATTATGAAGCTTATATTATGTTGATCTGGTCGTAACCAATAACGAGGTACAGTATTGGAGAAATCCGGATTAGATTGCGTAGCGAAAGTTATAGGGATCCACCATTTAGTAGTTATATTCTTAGTCTCACCCGAAAATCGCCGGACACATGTTTGTGATATTGTTACTTCACCAGTTTCGTAATTTCGCTTCACATGTACAAGAGGATAACGCTCTTGATTCATCCAAGTATCCATCACTTTTTTTATTGTGTAGTTTTCGTGCGGGATATCAGATTCGTCTAGAGCACTTTGCATGGCTCTCCACAAATCGTTCGGAGTGGCCGTGCTAAATTGACTAAATTTGAAAAATGACTATTATTAATAAAGTAGTACATAGTGGAATGTAAATTAATTGTCAAATGATGTATGCAAATATTAATATAAAATTAAATTTATAAATATATATATTTCTACATGTATATTTATGTATAAAACTTGAAATATATAGTTTACTTTTTAAATCTCTTAGAGTGAAAGTTAAACCAATCTTTGGAAAAGAGAATATTTTCACTCTTGTAGTGACAAATTTTAAATTTACTATTCTGGAGAATATATATATTCTCTCCAAAAAATGAAATTCTACTCCAAAAAAAGAAAGTGAGATTTCATTCATTTGGAGTGAATCTACTCCAAATGAGAAAAATTTTATTCCAAAAACAACGAAAATTTTCATTCTTTTTTCCACCACCAAAAATATTTTAATTTTTTTTTTCAAAGACTAGCTCAGTTTTCAGTCTTTTGGAGTGAGATTTTACTCTAAAAGATTTAAACAGTAAAATTAACTTAAATTAAATTATAATTAAATAGAAAGTAAAATGTACGCGGTTTATAATTGAATAGTAATATATGATATTGACGATACATATCGTGAGTATCTAACAATAGTATATTTCTGAAATACGAACTTATATATTTTTCAATATAAATTCAAGAAATTTTATATTATATGATACATAATATGATAAATACATGATACTTAATATTGTGATATGTACGTCTGTGTATATATATGTATATATATATATTTATAAAATATGTGCATGTATTATATATTTATATATATACAATATTATTAGATTACATTATACACACTTACTGCTTGGACAAATACGTAACGAGACCCTTTCGAAATACCTCAGCGGTAATTGTATTATGTAACATGCGCAATAAAACTGGCGCTGCGATAATACACACCATAAAATATATATTAATAATACATTTAAAGTAGATGCATTTAAAGTACATACATAATTAATATGTATATACTATGTATAAAGATGCATTGCGCTAAAGAAGTATTTGTTGGCTAATAGCCTATAGTGTCTTATTTTTTCTTTGTGCTAAACATTAAGTTTAAAGAAATCTATGAACAGCAGTTTAATTTTATTTTCATTATCTTACCTTTTTTATAAACTTCATTAGAAAATATCGATAATTGTTCATCAAAAGTATTGCCAAGCTTCAATGTGACAGAATTCCATGAGCCTGTATCTTCAATCAAGCAATAGTGCATTTTCTCAATCACAAATAGATCCATTGCCCGCCAATCTTTAAAAATCTGAAGAAAAAAATGCTTTGACGTGATACTGAATATATATGAAAATACTAAAAATTCGAAAAGTACGTATTAGAAATAAAAACTAATTCAGATGTTATTTTCAAAAACAATCCTATTTTACATTTCATAACATCTAGATTGTATTAATTCTCTTGCTTAACTTTTTAGAAGAAGAGAGAGCAGTATCTGATTTAATTATTTTTAAAAATGCTGAAGATTATTTAATATGAAAATGACATTATTCAATATGAAAATAAAATTGAGATATAAAAATACAAAATATTGAATTTTATTATTTATTTTATTTTATGAAATACTGAATATGATGGATGCAGAGAATAAAATATTTATGAATTTTGGTTAACTTTTTTATGATTTTGAATTAAAATTTTTGCTATTCTCTCTCACTTACTCACACACCACACACATCACACACACACGCGCGCGCGCACACACACACACACACACACACTCTCTCTCTCTCATTCAGCTATATATATATATAGATACGTTATATGAAAATATAGTATTTAATTGTATTTTTAATTAATACTATTTTAATCTTAAATTTCGTTGATTGTGTACGTTTCGAAAAACGCAGCAAGTCCCTCACTTAACCATAGGTAATTCCACCAAACTGGAGTGACCAAATTGCCAAACCATTGATGTGCTAGTTCGTGTGATATCAGCAGTGCTTGTGCTTTCTTATATATTGGATCACTTTTGTCATCGGAAATAACATTGGATTCACTAAAAGATAAAACATAACATAATTATATAAAATATTCCTAAAATATTTTATAATATTACTATATAAAATATGCAATCTAATAATATGTATGTGTGTGTGTGTGTGTGTGTATATATATATATATATACATTAAATATATCAATATGAGAGAGCAAAAAGAAGAGAAGGTGTAATAGATAAAACACGTTAATAATTATGTAAGACAATAGTTTTCATTTAAATATGAAAATATATATTTTTTTGACATATTTTCTGTAAGAATGTTTATGTTTTAAATTACTAAATTTCGAATGCTAAATGTAATATTGGTTAGATTTAATATATAACTTAACAAATTTCTTTAATTGATTTATGTATATTATTTACCGATAAATGATAAGTCCCCAATTTTCCATGCCGTAAACTGTAAAAGTCGGTATCAAGACATGGTCCATTTTGGGTACCTTCTGGAAAATATTGGTATATTGAATCAAGAACTCCACGACCTTTTCAGCAATACTGTGTGCGAATTTTACTTTCGACGTCAAAGACGACTTGCACCACATATTGATCGTCTCGTTTGCATTGGGAACGCGGACAAAATCGGACATTACAATCGCTACGATATAAGTAGACATTATAGGAGTGATGTCAAAGTGTGTCTGCATCATACTATCTTGTTCTAAAAATTGCTCTCGTATTGGCATATTCGACAATACACCATACTTCTGATGATGCTTTACAGAAATGTTGAAGGTAGCTTTTAACGCTGGCTCGTCCCAACATGGAAACATTTGTCTGGCGCCATTCGGCTCGAAATGCGTTGCGGCCAACCACTTACTATTTAATAAAACATCTTAAATGATGATAAATTTGCCACTTATATCAAGTAACATGAAAATTTAAAGGACTTATTGTTAATTATTGTTTATTATTATGTATACCATCTTTAGTAAAAATTTTGTTAAAGATAAAAGTCGAAATGCTGTATAGCCATGCCATTTTATTTGAAATTAAAACTATACTCTTTCAAGTATTATATTATGCATTATATACGTATTTTATATAGAGGAAAGCCTCCTATTATGAGATAGGTGCCTAATGTGAGATTGCGGCGTTTCTACTAAACTAATAAACGCTATCTATTGGTTCCATCATGAATTTATCGCTCTTGGATTGAAAATTATTTAGTAGAAAATTCCTTATTAGATCATGCCTGTAGTCATTATAAAACAAGATTTTAGAATTTGGATGTCTTTAAGTTTCATTGAGATGAGCATTTAAACCTTATTTATTATTTAATAAATAAATATTTGGCAATAAATTCTTCATGTAGTGATAGAGTAACTAATAGAAAAATAGGTCGTACTAATAGAAAAATACAGGATATGTTGAATTGTTTAGTGAAGTTAGATTTGATGATGGTAAAATCATAAGGCGTGGAAATCGTAATATGAGATACCCAAGGTATTCCTAATACGAAATAACACATGCTCCTATGTTATAAAGAAAATCGTTGCTAAAGTATGAATGTTATTGTACAATAATAAATAAGACAAGCGCGGAATGAACGTCGATTCTATATCTACGATGCTTGATTCCAACTATCTGAAAACGAGTTCTGGGTATAATAATCTATCGCATGCTCATTTTTCGCGCACGCTGGCTATATTTGTTTGTACTTTAGAAACATTAAATACAGTTTTTTAATTGTAATATTGATATACTTTGCATTTTACTATCGATTTCTCGGGGCATTTCATATTAGGACACAATTTTTTGATTTGCGATTTGCTCTTTTTACATTTCTTTAATTTTCAAAAAAAATGGAATTTGAATTATATTTTATGTAACGTTATCTTAAAGCTTATTAAATTCCCTTCAAAATGACCTATTATTTTTTTAAATTCTGCCTATAGACTTTTAGCATTTACCCAAAATGAACTCAGTATTAATAGGGGCCTTTCTTCTATATATTATACATATTTACTGAAAAACGTTTTATGTATGGAAATAAGATAAAAACAAAAGAACATGGTAGGAAAAAACATTTACATCACAAATATATTTTTTATATTTTAATATTTACTTACGTGTCGGTTCTTTTATCATTTGTGTACGGAAATTTCATAAAACCTCCTCGCAGAGATACAGGTAATAGATTACCAGAAAATTTCATGTTCAAGATGTAAAAACCGGGTAATAATACATTGTTGAAATTCAGTGTCAAAATATTCGTTGCATTGTTATGAATATGTTTTATCGGTTTATAAACCGTACCTTTATCACTAATCAACATTGTAGCTGTTCCATTTATTTCTAATTCTCTCGAGTGTAAGCTTATTTTTGACGATACATAACAAATCTTGAATTTGACATTGGATTTACCGTAAAAAGTAAAGTTGCCTTCTTCGAGATATAATGTCAGACTGATGTTATAGTGAATTGGTATCGTGTTGTTCGGTAAACGATCAATATATTCTAAACTATATTGACCGACGCAAAAAACCGTTTTTATGGTCAGTATTAGGCCAATGTTTAATAACAACTTTAGGAATATCATATCGAATTCCTGTTTATCTTATCTGCGACTTTTTATTAAAAAAAGAACAAATATTATATTATACAATGATGTCTGAAGTTACATTTGAAGTCTAAATTTATAAAGTCTAAAGTAATTTAATATTAATTTTCATATAAAAAGAGAATGAATGGGAAAAAATAATTTTTCGATTTTTATTATCCGCAAATTATCTGGAAATGAAGAAATTGGGCATAAATTAAATTTTATGTATCTGTAACTGAAAAATATATATTTCTTATAAAAGAAAAATATATAACTTTATTTTCATTGACAACATTAAATATTTTTAATGCGATGTATATGCATGTGGAAGCAAATTTGAAGTAGGCACATTAAAAATATTTAATGTTGTCAATGAAAACGAAGTTTCAAATAACTTAAATTTAATGTTTACTTACATTAAATTTTATACAAATCTACATAAAATTTATTTAAAAATGTACTAAACTTCGTAAAATTTTATGAAACGTACACTAAATTTCATGTACATGTACACAAATATACTTTTCAGTCACAGATACATAAAATTTAATTTAGTAATAAAATTGAATTTAATTTATGCAACTTAAAAGTACATTAAATTTCATGACATTTTTAACAATATACACAAGAAATTACAGAAATGAGATAATTCTCGAACAATCGCGAAAATAGTTTTTAAACCGTCTTTTACTCATGCGTTATCTTTTGAAATATTTGTATTACGTTTTATATATTTTGTTATGTAATAAGGAGAATAAGCCTTTTGAATTACTATCATTTTTAACGACTTAATTTGTAAATTACCTGTTTGCAGATTAAAATAAGGTTGAGAAAGATTCGTAATTGATTATAGTTAATTACAGTTAATTAATTTATTTCTATACAATTTAATATCCAAGTTATATCAGCATAATTGCATTGTCATCTTGTCGTCTCGAAAGATTCTCGAATACTGACTACAATATCAATATCTGTGATGCTATTACATGTTACTTAAATATGCTGTAAGGTAAAAAAAATGTCCTATACTTACAGAATCCTTGAGTTATAAACAATTGAAAATAAGAATCTTTTTGTAGAGAAGCTAAATAATTATAATAAATATTTATTAAATATTAAGGGCAATATGATTAGATTACATTCTACAGTTTGTTTTAAGTAGATGTTATTTTAACATAAATTTAATATGCGCAATTACATAATACATAGTACATATAAAAAGTTACACAATTTGTAAAAGTTTGTGATAAATGTCTTAACATAAATGCGTGTTTTTCGCGATATTTTTTATATTGAGATAATCGATTCAAGTTATTAAAACAATTCGAGATAGAAATATGGTTAATAATGAACATGCTATATGATTATATAGATTTTGTTTTTTTCATAATTAAGATATTCTTTATCTAAAAAATAAATAGCGAATACAAAAATGTATATATTGCAAAAATCGTCACATTATAGGTATCTGATTATATAAATATAAAAATAATTTTAACTATAACTATAATAAATAAATGACATATACACAAAAAAGCAAATTTAATGAAGTGCCATTATAAGTACATGAAGTCTGTGTGATCACACAAAACTTATCTTGTTAAATTGGTCTTCATTAATATAAATATTGGAAATAATATTTTTCAACATTGTAATCGTCGTGAGTGATATACAAAAATAAAATAAAATATCCATGTTTGATACTATTATTTATCAAAAACGATATATCAACAAAATGTCTTTATTCGTATTTAATTCTTTCGAGATTTATAACATATAATTATAAGCTTCTTCATATGATTATTCTTATTTATATGATTAATGATATTAGGTTGAAAAGATAAAGTATAATTTTTTGATCGCAATTCTAAATGTCTGATGCCATAATATTCAAATATTTGATGATAATATCATAATCTTTAGAGTAAACCAAAAAGGTTTTTGTCACGTATTTGCATACCTATATAAATTCATCGTTTGTCCATATATGATATAATAGTATTCTAGTATAATTGATATTAAACTGAATAAATAAGTATGTCTATTTTTATCATCGAGAAATTCTGATAAAAATGAACAAGTTAAAAAATTGAGTGATTACAGTACTAAGATAAGTAGTATAAATACAGTAAAAATTATTAAAAGTATAAAGTTTCATTACTTTTTGTTTCTCGAGATAACTTCCTTCTTTCTTTTTTCTATTTCTGTAACTTTAATACTCTCTTTTTATGTATCTACTTGTTTGTCTATTTATGTTTCCTCTATTATACATATTATACATATTTGTGCAATATGTGCACGTATGTGTATCTGATATAACTTTTCTCTCCAAAATTACACCTAATGCAGATCACTGTTTAAGGAATTATTTTTGCGAATAAATGCATCTTTTTCTTCTGTAAAATTAATTTGTTTAAAATAGACAAAAATATACAAAGTGTGAGACGAAGGAAATATGAGTTATGAACAATACGAGATATTGGGAATCCACAGAAATAATAACTCTTGTTTAAATGAAACCTTTTATTACAATCAACATTTTATTACAAAATGACGTTATAATTTCACATATCTTCTATTCTAAATAACCCAAATCAACCTATAATAATAATTATAATAATAATGTGCTATAAAAAGTTTAAGTATTTGTTATTAGATAGCAACTCTCTCTCTCTCTCTAGTATATATATACATATAATATCTAAAAAATATTATAAATTTATCATTTGAGACAATTTAATTACAAATGCTCCGAACTGAATGTAATAAATCAGAGTTACAGTGTTTATAAAAATATCTTACAAATGACATCAAAGAGTCTAATATGTTATATAACATAAATTATTCGTTATTGAGAAAAAATTAATGTATTAAAATTTTATTAATAGCTTCCCTAAATTACTAATAAAATACTAAACATTATAAAATTAGAAATATTAAAAATGTTTAAAAATCAATTATTTACAATTTGATATAATATAAATAAACATAATTTTATTATTAAAAAGTTAATATAGGTAAATGTAAATTTTACATCAGATTATTTTTTTATTATACGATTTCTCTCTAGGTGAATATCTCGAAAATAACTTCTCGTGAAAGTGAAATTTTTTGAAGTCAAACTTCCTTTTAACATCGTGTATGACTTTCCAAAGATATTCTTTACTATCGTTTATCAGTTTTTCAATTTCAGACAAAATTTTTGGATGTTGTTTAAAATTAGTTTGTGAGAATTTTTTCACCTGAAACAAATTAGTTCGAGATACTGAATAAATAGTAATTTATTTTTATGCAGCAATTCGATGTATTATAATTTTTAATTTAATATAATATTAAGATATATGGCATGTATACAAATAAAAGGATCGTCCTTTATTTAAGGAAAACCATGAGAATCGAATGAATTATTATAATCCACAATAGGATAATTTTCCTGAAATTTTTCTAAACTATTTTCTGTTAAATGACCGGTTTAATATTAATTAGTGAATTACAAATATTCGATTTATATTTTATGAATTTAGCACACATCGATTTTACACTTGATTTTATAATATGGTTTTCCGCAAAAATATAATGCATAACCTTTATATGTAAAAATACTGTTGATTATTAATATTAATTTAATCATATAAAATTGCATTAATTTATAATTTCTCATGTGAAACTGTCTTTATTTAAAGCTTATAACAAGAAATTTCAATAATATTGTAGCATTTGCAATGTTTTAACAATTTTGCAACGTTGTAGCAATAATAATTGCTACAAGATTTTGTGGTTTTAGGGCTAAAACGATTTTGGTAGCCGATAGATATCAATACTATATATAATAACTATGAATTTAAAATTATAAAATTTACCTTGTCAATGTCTTTATAAAAATGAACATTATCAAGAATAAGTTTTATCACTGTAGGTGCACTAAGTGATCTATAAAAACAAAATAACATATTTATGATTAACAAATGGTTATGATTAAGAAAACAGTATAATAGACATTTACGAAGAGAAATATTTTTACTTAGGTTTTATAGCTTTAAAATTATTTAATATGTATTTAAGGATTTTATCGTTGCGCGAATGTTTCTCAAGAATATGTTTGAAGACACGAGTATGGTCATCATCGTCAAAAAATGAAGCATTGAATGCTAATATATTTAAATAGTTGATGATGATATCAGGATGTTTAGCGCAACTCAAGCCCATCAATAATCTTTTTGGGTCCTCTTTTAGTGTTCCTTTTGCATATATTTCAAACATTTTATCCCAAGTAGTCCTATTGGCTGCCATCATACCGGCACAGTACATAAATTTTTCCCCTCGTAAAATTCTAAAAAAGTAAATATTTATTAAGAAAGGATACATATATTTCATACAGTAGCCGATTTTCTATTTTATCAAATTTCGTATTTTTTACGGAACGCGCGTTCCTTAATCCTGTGACATGTTAAACAACTATAAATTTGTAAAATTAAATTCTCATTCTGCGCTACTGTCCTACTCTGTAGTGTAAAACACTTGTTATATGGCATCACATAATAATATTACAATAAAGAAACAAAATAAACAAAGATATGTCGGTAGCGCAGCTTGTCATTTTATTGTACTTATATTTTTGCTTGTACACAACGTCATATTTATTCTGTCATTATATCATTATTAAATAAGAATGGAGATTGACTTATATTGAAAGTGTAAGACGAATATTTGGTCTTGATTGACTGAATTTGAAGAAATAGGAAGTCGACTGTAATGTATCCATATGCACGTGTATGTATGCACACACGAATACAATTTACGAAATAATCAAGAATGTAAGATTAGTTATTACTTGTAAGTTTTGGGATTTGTGAGATGTCTGTTTAATTTAAGCGCGGTCACTTTCTTGCATTTCTTGTTACCGAGATCACATGCACATTTTAAGGCAGTTAGTCTTGTCATTTTTGTGACATCGTCATCATTACCATTTTCTTCGTATTTTATGTGCCGAAGAAGCTTATGGAGGAGTTGCTTGTAGCGTTTCTAGAAATCATAAAGTAATGTATTCGGTTTAAGGCACCTCCAAACGACATGGCCAATGTACAATAACTTTACGCACATTTGTTAAATATTGGTGAATATTTATATTGATAATCATGTATGTCGCGCGCGCGCGCCCGTGTGTGTGTGTGTGTTATGTGTGTAATATTTGCTAATTTGGCGTACATTAGTCACCCAGATAGCAACGTATCCATCTTGTTGCTGGCATGTTGCTTGCTAAATATGTATTGCTAAGTAAATAAGTATAAGTTGCTACCAGAATTGCAGCAACTGAGTCCTTATTTGTTGGCAATTTGATACCTTAACGATAACATTGAGTAGCAACTTACCAGCAATTTGTCGACAACTTTAAAATCGTCATTATTAAATTTCGTACTGTTGTCATAATAATATGCAACATCATACAATGCTGTCATATTGCCGCCAATGCAAGATAATATTGACACAACTATCTTGCTGTTAAACTGCTGGCAATACATATACACATTGTTGTCTGCATATTGCTACAATATCGGTATATTAGAAATCGTTGAAGACAATTCTACGATAAGTTGTCAGCATCATAAGCAATCACGAATTTGTGTAATTTTGTTTAGAAAAGCTTTGCTATCTGGGCATATTGGCAGAATCTGAGTACATGGTTTATTGGTACTCAAACATATAATCAGTATATGACAATATATATAGTTTGTATTACAAATATTATATTGTTATATATTTTTAATTGCGTCATATTATATCTTTATATACTTGTGAAAGTGGTTTCACTATGGCGTAAACGATAAAATATACATAATTTGCTAGGCATTTAATATGTTAATTGGAATGGATATTATGTGTTCACAAACACATGAAACGATTGTTGTAGCTTCGTAATTGTATATTTAATACTTTATTGTTCGTTTTTTTACTATATTTTTATTTTTATTTTTTTAGTATTATAAGCCACACAACACATATTGTTATATGAAAATGTCATTTTTTTATATTAAAAAAAATCTGCTTCAATTACATATTACGTGCAAATAGTATAACTTTTCTACATGTTGGCTTTTAAAAAAAATTCAAATTTAAGAACCAACCAATTTGTATAGTACAAAAAGAAATTAGGATTATTCATAATACTTTATGTAATATGATGTAAGATCATACCTTGACATGTTTCATTTCTGGCAGTAAAAGAGGCTTCGGCATAGTTTGTATAATATCTAACAATGGTTGCCATGCTACACCATCTGTATCACGCTTGAGGTAGCTTATCAATTGAAGATATAAATAACCACCTATTCGATCATCCACTACCATGGCATGCAAATCAGCAATAATTTGAGCACGATTAAGAACGTGTATATTCACATACTTATCAGTGTTTAAGTAATGTGAAATTTTTTCCCAATTTTTGGTATCGTAATTAACACGGTAGTAGCCTATTGTATTATTCATTGTATTATTAAATCTTTTTAATAAATTTGAATTTATCAAGATATATTTTTAAATATCTATTTTAACTTTTTTTTTAATGTAATACACAAATGTAATATATTATATATTACTATCACAACAAAGTATAGCAGTTATGGATTCTAAATCATTTTATATTAATTAATATTTGGCAAAATTTTGAAAAATTAAATACATAAATTTCTTTTACGCTCTTACAAATAAAAAAATACATGCAAATATATTTAATAAAAACGATGTAAAACTTTCGTAATGATAAAACAAAATAAAATGAATAAAAAGATCAAATTTTTTATATATATATTTACCACTAAGTTGCAAATTAACAATAATCCAATCATCTGGGTTAATTATAAAGCTTATGTTATGTTGATCTGGTCGTAACCAATAACGAGGTACAGTATTCGAGAAATCCGGGTTGGATTGCGTAGCAAAAGTTATAGGGATCCACCATTTAGTAGTTATATTCTCACCCGAATATGTCTGGACACATGTTTGTGATATTGTTACTTCGCCAGTTTCGTAATTTCGCTCCACATGTACAAGAGGATAACGTTCTTGATTCATCCAAGTATCCATCACTTCATTTATTGTATAGTTTTCGTGCGGGATATCAGATTCGTCTAGAGCACTTTGCATGGCTCTCCACAAATCGTTCGGAGTGGCCGTGCTAAACTGACTACAAATGTGACAAACATGGAGTAATGTACATTGACTATTAAAGAATCTAAGTGAATATTTAATGTAATCGGATATATGGATACATGTAAAAACTTATTATACCGTTTCATACAACCGACATATATTAAATTATAATTGAACAAAAACGTTAAAGACGCTATTTATAATACGCTTTTATTATATAGTTAACGTTACGTATATTATAGAAATTCATATAAAAGTGCGTATTTATCAATAAAAGTGCGTTCTGAAAGCGGACCAAAGTGTACAGCCTATAATTGAACAACAATAATCGAGCGCATATAAATTCTGATACTATATATTTCATTATAAATATTAGAAGTATTATTATACTTATAATATTTAATATTATATGACATATAATAATAATGTAATGCTACATTAAATATACTTACTGTTTAACCAAATATGTAATAAGACCCTTTCGAAATACTTCAGCAGTAATTGTATTATATAACATGCGTAATAAAACTGGCGCTGCGATAAAAAATACACATCATAAGATATCAATTAATAATACATTTAAAGTACATACGTAATAAATACATGCTATGTAGAAAGATGCATTGCGCTAAAAAAAATATTTGTTGGCTGATAGCCATCTGTTTATCTTTTTCTTTGTGCTATATACATTAAGATTAAAGAATCTATAAACAGCAGTTTAATTTTATTTACGTTATCTTACATTTTTTATAAATTTCGGTAGAATACAGCGACGGAAGTTCATCTAGAGTATCACCAAACGAAGTCTTCAATGTGACAGAATTCAATAAACCTGTATCTTGAAGTAAGCATCGTTGTATGTCTTCCACGTCCAATAGATACATTACTGATAATTTGAAAATCTAAAGAAAAAAAAGATGTTTTGAAGTGACTGAATATTAAAAATTCTGAAAAACTTGCATTAGAAAAAAAAAACTAATTTGTTTGCTACTTCCAGAAACAATGCTATTTTACATTTCATAACACGTAGATTATATTAATTCTTTTGTTTATTATTTTCCAAGAAGAGAGAGTAGTATTTGGAGACACTGGTAGTGTCTCGGCGCTAAGCCAAAGCGCAGCGACACTGTCTCATTTACCTAATCATTTTTAAAAATGTTGGAGATTATTTAATATTAAAATAACATTACTTAATATGAAAATAAAATTGAGATATAAAAATACAAAATGTTGAATTTTGTTATTTATTTTCTTAAATACTAAATGCAGCGGATGCAGAGAATAAAATATTCATGAATTTTAATAAGCTATTATAATATTCTTAAGTGATTCCTAAATATGAAAGAGTAATAATGTTCAAATATTAAAAAATTAAAATAACGGATCTTTGTACGATATGACAATTATTTATAATATTTGTTAGAGATTATTTAATATAAAAATAAAAGAAAGATACGATAATTCAAAATATTAAATGTCATTTCTAAATGTAGCAAATGCAAAAAATACAATATTTTCGAATTATAATAAAATGATTACAATAGTCTTACGATTTCTAAACATGAAAGTAATGTTCAAATATAAAAAACATTAAAATAGCAAATCTTTAATTCAACAAACACGAAAAACAAATATCGTTTTTAATAAGAATTTATATTAAAATATTTTTATAATCCGTTCCAATAAACATGTTACGTGCTTTTTATAATTTTAAACTAAAGCATGCGTTATGCGCATTTAGTTCCATCATGATATATTTTATGAAGATATGGTATTTAATTGTATTTAATTGGTATTATATCCTACACTGAGAAGAATGATTTATTTTTATTTGAAAATGAACAAACCAGAAAATTCTGATTTAATCAATTCCGGAATTCCGATTATCTCAACTATAATTTTATAGTAGATTTAAAAAAATTTTCTTAGTGTAATCTTAGAATAAAATGTACTATGAAATCCTTTTTTCAACAAACAACCTTGCATTAATAATATTCAATAACCTTTTCGACTACGATTTTTTTGATAAACGAAGTAATTCCTTCACTTAACCACAGGTAGGGCCACCAAGATGGAGTAACTAAGTTGCCAAACCATTGGAGTGCAAGTTCACGTGTTACTAACGTTGTTATTGAAATTTTCGCATATGTTGGATCCTTCGCGATATCATACATAAGATTTGAATAACTGAAATAACATGATATAATTATGTAAAATGTCATTGAACGTGCAGTCTAATCAGTTACGTCTGAGTAATTATAGTGCAATTATGTTATTCATAATTCTCTTACGTAAAGAATTTGAATATTTAAAATTTTTTCTTTTTATACATATATGTATGTACATATATATATGTATATATATATGTATATACATATATTCAGGGATAAGAAATAAATAACGCCGTTATTTTCACGGTTACTTTTTGTAATAATAATTTGATAGTAACGTTTTTATGTCGATAAATAATAATTTGATAGTAACAATTTTTATGTCGATAAAGATAACTTTAACTAAAAACTAAAGGTTAGGAAAGTCACTTTTGAATGGTAAAAATTTATTTTTTTCATAAGTGTCTTTTTCATCCTTAACTTACAGTTATAGTTGTCATCATCAAAAATTACGACGTATCAATCAAAAATTGACCAAACTATTATTATAAAAAGTAACGGCAGAAATAATGAAGTTACTTATTACTCATCTCTGTGTATATATAATATATGTACGTATATGTTTGTCAAATGTACATACATGTGAGCTAAAAAAAAAGAGATAGATGTACTGTATTAGTTACGTTTCTATTTTTTAAGACAATCTAAACATTAAAATATATACTTTTTGATAATTTGTGCAATAGATTATACGTATCTTAAATTACTAAATTGCAAATGCTGAAATTAACATTGATTAATTTTATAATAGCTTAATTAATTTTGTATGAACTGTGTATATTACTCATAAGTGATGAGTCCCCAATGTCCCATGCCGTTAATTGGAAACTCCGGTATCACGACATGATCCATTTTGGGTATCTTCAAGGAACTGTTGGTATATTGAATCAAGATTTCCGTGACATTTTCAGAAACATCATATGCGAATGATAGATATGCTGGTATTAATGACGATCTACGACACCAAAATGTATGGATGGTTTCATGTAATAAGTGCGAAAAGCTGATGAATCGTAACATCACAATCGCTACGGTATGAGTGGGCATTATAGGAGTAGTCTCGAAATATGTCCTTCTCATCTCATCTTCGGCGTATATAACTTTTACTGGCATATTTGATAGTAACTTATATTTTGCATGGTGCATTACGGAGATGTTGAAGGTGGCTTTTAATGCTGGTTCGTCCCAACACGGGAACATTCGTCTGGCGCCATTCGGCGAGAAATGTGTTATAGCAAACTCTAATCTGTTTGATAAAATGTATTAAAAAATAGCAAATATTCTACTTATGTCATCTAACTTAAAAATTTAATAAATACTAATGATTGTTAACTGTCATTAATATTATTACATGTAAAAAATTTCGATAAGAGCAAAAATTGAAATACTGCATAGCTGTACCGTTTTATAATTAATTTGAAATTGAAATTATCGTTTAAAGTATTAAAATATACATATATTTTAATATGTATATACATATATATGTATATTATAATTATATTTCACTGGAAAACCTTTTTATATATGGAAAAGTGATAAAAGCATAAGAAGGTAGTAACAAAAGCTGTTTATTATATATATTTGTAAATATATTTTTATGTTTTAATATTTACTTACTTTTGTCCTGTTTTGTCTATGTACGAAAATTTCATAAAACCCAGTTCTTCGGAAGGCTCTGATAAATAACCGACAAATTCCATATTCAGGATATACAGACCGGGCGATAATACATCATTGAAATCCAGTGTTAAAATGTCGGTTACATTATTATGAGTATGTTTCATCGGTTTATAAATCGTACCGTTGTCATTAATCAATGTTGTCGTTTCAATTATTTCCAATTCTCTTGAATGTAAGCTTATTTTTGATGACGCATAATGAATTTTGATGTTGATATTAGATTTGCCGAAAAAAGTATAGTTGCCTTCCCTGAGATACGTTGTTAGATGGATGTTATATTGAATTGGTATCGTGTTCTTCGGTAATCGATCAATAATTTTTAAATTTTTTAAACCGATGCAAGGAATCGTCCTTATAGCCAATATTAGACCAATATTTAATAACAACTTTAGAAATCCCATATCGAATCCCTCTTTTTATCTGCGATTGTTTGTTAAAGAAAAAATAAAACAATACAAAATTATTGTAATTTAATATCAATTTTTATATAAAAATGAAAAGAATTAGAAAAAATAATTTTTGCACTTGTTTATTATAAAAATCATATGTATTTAATATTTATTGAGTATACTTTGATTTGTAATTAATTTATCTTATTGTCTTTTTCATAGGATTTTTTTCTTAAAAAAGAAACAAAATAGAAAATTGATTTATTTCATTTAAAAGATAATTTTAGACGTCTATGTAGAGTGTTTACATTTATCTATAGTGAATATTTGCTACCAAAATTAAAAAAACGTTAACATATTGATATGAGGTAGAACGGAGCTATTAGAGCGGTCAGTGAAAATTTACGATAGCAAATAAAATCTTTCTACAGTGACGTGTTTATAATTACATTATACGATCATGATTGCTCATTGAAAGTACAAGCACAATCTTTAAATAATCAAACATATGCTCTTCAGAAACATAAACATTATCGCGAGAAATGGACGAAAAAGGCATGTTCTACTCTATATTTTGTGTAAAATTTGAATTGTTTAGTTATTGGTTGATTAATTATTTAAAGAAAAGTTTTAATCTGTTTCTTAATTCGATTTGACTATTTTGATATATTTTCACCTAATATAATATTTATCGTTTATTAAGATTTTCTTAAGAAGATTTTACTCTCGGGATGTATTACGTAGAATTTTAAAATTATAATTGTTATGTCTCTGCAGTTTTCAAATTTATCAAAAAAATAAAAATATTGATTGAATTAATTTTTAATTTATTTTTAAAATAAATTATTAATGGAATTATACACAAAAAAAGTATTTTAAAGCTCTTATTAATGTGTTATTTTTGCACAATATAAGTATTTATCTGAATACTTTCTTTTTGTTATTTCTGTAAAGTATTTTTTTAATATGTATATGTGTACGTATGTGTATATGTGAAGAATATACTATAAGTAATAATTAACATTATTTTAAAAAACAAAAATAATAAAGAATTGAAAAAATATTTTTTCTACGACTTACTTTGTATGTTACACGTTTGTGCAGATAAGAATACAGTTGATTTGCATTAATTATAATTGATTAATTACAATTATCGATCTTTTATTACAGATACTTCAGCATATCTGCTCGATGGACTTGCTACCTCGAAAGATTTCCGAATAATGACTACAATTTCTCTGACGCTATTGTGAATATGTCGTACGTGTCAATATAAAGATGACCTTTACTAAATTTTGAACTGTAAATTTTTGTTCTTGATAACAAATGTTGAGACTTATAAGGCGGCATTAATAAATTATAGCCAGATCTTATTTAGGATCATTCTGATTACAATTTTAAGATGCCATGAATCAAACAGATTGAAGGCTGTATTAGCTCTTAAGAAATTATTTAAGACGATCTTATAAGAGAGAGAGAGAGAGAGAGAGAGAGAGAGAACCGATTATGAATACCGGCCATAGAGTCCTTGAATTATAAACGATTTAATATGGAACACTCTATATATAATATATATATATGTATGTATATATATATAAAGTAATTGAACAATAATAATTATTTAATAAATATAGAAAATAACATAATACAATTACATGCTACAGTTTATTTTAAGAGAATCTCACGTTTTGATAGAAAATTTTATGTACAAGTATTTATCAAGGAGATGTCGTTACTTGAATTCGACTCTTTTAAGATTTCCTAACATTTAATTATGCACCTGATTATTGCGTGAATGATTAATTAATAGATTGAAAAGGGAGAGACGAAATGTGATTTCTTATTCGCAATGCTAAATATTGTTTGACGCTATAATATTAAAATATTTGATAATAATATGTCAAAATCTTTAGGGCAAAAATCAGAATTTTCTAAAAGGATTTTGTCACGTATCTGTATACCTATACAAATTCATCGTTTGTCCCATAATTTTTGTATAATTGCCATTAAACCGGAACAATAAGTATATGCATGTTTTTGCCATCAAGAAATTCTGATGAAAATGGAAAGATTAAAATGTGAAAGATTAAAATATTAATATACAAGTAGAATTATCTATAGTATAAAACACTAGGAATCTACAATGTTTTGTATTGCAGAAATGTTTTTATTTTATATAATAATAACTTTTGTTTAAATAAAAACTTTTATTTCAGCTAGCATTTTATTACAAAATAATGTTATTATTTCATATCTATTCTCTTCAAAATCAACATCTAATAGTAATTAATAATAATGCTATAAACAATTCGAATATTTGTTATTAGAAAGCGATGCTATTATATATATATATATAATATCTAGAAAATATTTATTACTTGAGACAATTCAATTACAAGTGCTCTGAATCGAATGTAATAAACCATACTTAAAGCGTTTATAAAAACGTTCTAAAAATAACATCAAAAAATTTAATATATATTATATAACATAATATAAATTATTTTTCATTGACAAAAGATTAATGTGTTAGAAGATTGTATATCAATAGCTTTCCCAAACTATTAATAAAATACTAAATATTATAAAATTATTGAAAAATATCAAAAATAATTAAAAATAAATTAGTAGTACAATTAAAAATAGATTAGTTATTTACAATCTGATATCTGAATAAATAAACATAGTATTATTATAAAGTTAATTTGATAAATTTAAATTTTGCTTTTTGCAGATTAACTTTTTTGTGAACGTATCAATAATCAATTCTCAATTCAATCTTCTTCTCTGAAGTAAGTGTTGTCATTAATATCAATTTCGTAAGATATTCTTTTATTGTATATCAGTTCTTTAATTTCAGCTAAATTGAGTGGATAATGATTGAAAGTAGTTTCTGAGAATCTCTTTACCTGAAACAAATTAGTTCGAGATACTGAATAAATAGTTAATTTATTATTATGCAGCAATTCGATACATTGTATTTTTTAATTTGGATATTGTAGTTTAAGGACTAAAACGATTTTTATAGTCAATCACCATGAATTTAAAATTATGAAATTTACCTTTTCAATTTGTTCGTAAGAATGAACATTGTCAAGAATAAGTTTTATCACTGCATGTGCAGTAAATGATCTGTAAAAACAAAATAACATAATTAATAAATACTTATGATTAAGAAAACAGTATAGCATGTTTAAGAAGAGGAATATTATTACCTAGGAAGCATAATCATAAAATTTTTTAATATGTACTCAAGGATTATATCGTTGCGTGCATGATTTTCAAGAATATACTTGAAGATAAAAGAATGCGCATTATTGTGAAATAATGAAGTATTCAATGCTGATATATTTAAATAGTTGATGATGATATCAGGATCTTCAGCGCAACTCAAACCTTTCAATAATTTCATTCGTTCCCATTTTATTCCTTTTTTAATTAAATATAATTCGAACATTTTATCCCAAGTAGTCCTATTGGCTGCCATCATACCGGCGCAGTACACAAATTTTTCCTCTTGTGGAATTCTAAAATATGTATTTATTAAGAAAGAATACATACATATTTCATGCAATAACCGACTTTCTATTTTATTAAATTTTATATTTTTACGTTCCGTGATCTTGTTATATGTTATTAAGCAGTCATAACTTCGTAAAATTAAATTTTTATTCTGCTTTACTGTCGTACACTATAATGTAAAAGTTATTATGTCATCACATAATAATACTACAATAAAGAAACAAAATGAAGAAAAATATGTCGGTAGTGTAGCTTGTCATTTTATTGTACTTATATTTTTACTTGTACGTAACGCCATATTTATTCTGTCATTATTAAATAAGAATGGAGATTGACTTATATAGAAAGTGTAAGACGAATATTTGGTCTCGACAATTTGAAGAAATAGAGAGTCGACTGTACTGTATCCATATGCACATGTACGCATGCACACACAAATACAATTTACAAAATAATCATAAGTGTAAGATTATTTATTACTTGTAAGTTTCGGGATCCTCGAGATGTTTGCTTAATTTAAGCGCGGTCACTCTTTTGCATTCCTCGTTACCAAGATAACATGCACATTTTAAGGCGTTTATCCTTGTCAATTTTGTGATATCATCATCATTAGGCGTTTCTTCGTATTTTATGTTCTGAAGAAGACTGTTAAGGAGATGCTCGAAGTGCATCTAGAAATTAAGGTAATTATTGTGAAAAGATTATACCTCGCCGATGACCTTGACATATGTTGTCAAAGTCATGATCCTGATCTGAACTAACTAGTGAATATCAATGGAACTTTGCATAAGTCATTTTTAGTAGTTAGAAGTGTTAACTTTTTAAAAAAAGTGCAAATTTAATATGCAGCCAATTTATAGCCGAAAGAAAATGAAGATTATCCGTATTACGTTACGTAACTTTAATTATAAAGTCGTACCTTGACATATATCACTTCCGGTAGTAAAAGGACTTTCGGCATATGTTTTATAATTTCGAATAATGATTGCCATGCCACATGATTTCTGTCTTTCGAAAGGTATGTTATCAGTTGAACAAATGAGTAGCCATTCATTCGATCATCAAGCATCAATATAAACGCATCAACGATGATTTGAGCACGATTAAGAACATGTATCTTTGTATAATTATTACTATTTAAGTAACGTGTAATTTTTTGCCAATTTTTGATATCGTAACTAACACGATAGTATCCTGTTGCATTATTCATTATATGTGTTATTAAATCTTTTTAATGAATTTGAATTCATCAAAATATATTTTCAAACATCCACATTTTACCTTTTCTTAATGTAATACCCAAATGTAATATTGTATACAAATATTACAATGAAATATAGTAATTACGGATTATAAATTATTTTACATTAATTAATTTTTGACAAAATTTTGGAAAATTAAATATATAAATCTCTCTTTTAATATTTTATACATACAAATATGTTAAATAAATACGCATATAAATGTAATGTAAAATTTTTGTGATTATAGAACAAAATAAAATAAGTAAAAAAATTAAATAGTTTTATTCGTTCTTACCAGTGAGTTGCAAATTAACAATAATCCAATCATCTGGATTAATTGTGAAGCTTATATTATGTTGATCTGGTCGTAACCAATAACGAGGTACAGTATTGGAGAAATCCGGATTGGACTGCGTAGTGAAAGTTATAGGAATCCACCATTTAATTTTATTTTTAGTTTCACCATAATGCCGGACATATGTTTGTGATATTGTTACTTCGCCAGTTTCGTAATTTCGCTCCACGTGTACAAAAGGATAGCGTTCTTGATTCATCCAAGTATCCATCACTTCTTTTATTCTGTAATCTTCGTGCGGTACATAAGATTCGTCTAGAGCACTTTGCATGGCGCTCCACAAATCGTCCGGAGTAGCCGAACTAAACTGACTATAAATTTAACAAACATAAGGTAATGTATATTGATTATTAAAAGATCTAAGCTAGTAATGTTTGTAAGTTTAATGTAATTGGATTTATAAATACATATATATATATAAAAACTTATAATACAATTTAAAATTCAATTATAATTTAATAAAAACATGAAAGACTCTATTCATAATATGTTTTTATCATTTTAGCAATTATTCTTATATATATAATATTACTGTATATTATGTTATAGAATTTCAGATATAAAAATGCGTATTTTTCCATAAAAGCGTATTGTAAATGCGGATCAAAGTGTACAGCCTACAATTAAATAACAATATAATATCGAGCACCAAATATTAGAACTATTATTATAGTTATAATATTTAAAATATGTAATACATATATGTATGATATATTACCTATAAATTATAATAATATAATGCTACACATTAGAGAGACACACTTACTGCTTGGTCAAATATGTAATGAGACCCATTCGAAATACCTCATTGGTAATTGTATTTTGTAACATGCGTAATAAAACTGATGCTGCGGTAATACACATAAAACATCAATTAATATAATACATTTAAACTACATACAAATTTAATATATGTGTAAATATGCATTAAAGAAGAATTTATTTGTTATTAGCTTTATCTTTTTTTTATTACTGTAAACATTAACAAATCTATAAACAGCAATTTAATTTTATTTACATAATTTTACCTTTTTTATAAACAAGAGGATTCAATGAGTTATCTTCAAAAGTACTGCCAAATTTCATTGTGACAAAATTTAATGAGCCTGTATCTTGAAGAAGACATTGCTGTATTCTCTGAATCATAAATAGTTTCGTCGTATGCCTATAATTTTTGAAAATCTGTAGAAGAAAGAATTTCAATGTGATTGAATATCGAAATTTCCGAAAGAAGCTTGTATTTTATTAAAAATAAACTGTAGTTTGTTTGTTTTTTTATAAAAACATAGCTATTTTACATTTTATTACATACATTGACATATCCAGAATTTTTTTCGTAGAGGGGGGGATGGTTTATTTATCACTCATAAATAGCATATATCTTACAATAACGAATTGCTTTATTTTAAAGCTTAGAATGTCTTTTTTTTCTAAGATTCTAATTTTGAAAAAAATATTAAATGTAAATCATAACTTTTCTTTTCCTGAAAGTTATGGTTATGATTTACAAAATTTATAAAATACGGTAATCCAAAACAAAATATTATAGTAGTTGTGAATGGAGTACGTATTAATTTATCAGAGCAGGTTTTGCTTTTTAGTTCAAAAACCTTGCGAAAATTTTCTTTACGTGTCGGATACTCTATCAAAAGCTCTAACGAAAATTCTAGGAATTATGTACATAATCGTAACGGGAGAAATAATATTTTATAAAATAACAAAAAATTTACTCAGAGTAAAAAATGATGTTATATTTTTTATGAAGAACGAAAAAATAAATAAAACCTTTCGGGGGAGGATTTGAATTAATTAAATCCCCCACATCCCCTACGCCCATGATTACACCTAAATTATGATATTAATTTCATGACGAACCGTTTTAAAGAAGAGCATACCTACAGTTTAATTATCTATAAAAGTTTGTTACAGAGTATTTAAAATAAAAATGTAAGTAAGATATAAAAATTCAAAATATTGAATTTTATTATTTTATTAAATTCTAAAATCTCTTCTTATTTTATTAAATTCTGTGGTGGATGCAGAGAATAAAATATTTTCGAATTCCGTTCTGAAATGATTACATTCTTACGATTCCTAAATATAAAGATAATGTTAAAATATAAAAAAATTAAAATAATAAATCTTAAATTCAACGACCACAAAAAGCAAATATTTTCAATTTTCATAATTCTATTAAAATATTTTTATAATTTATTTCAAGGCGCTTTACACACATTTCATAATTTTACATTAGAGCACGCGTTAATTCCATCTTATATTTTACGAAAGTATATAGAGTTTTTAATTGTATTTAATTGATATTATTCTAATCTTAGATTAAAATAACTAAGTATTCCAAAATCCTTTTTTCAATAAGCATCTTGCATTATACATAATAAAATTCAATAACCTTGTCAATTATGTATGTTTGAAAGAACGAAGCAAGTCCTTTACTTAACCACAGATAGGGCCACCAAGATGGAGTGACTAAGTTGCCAAACCATTGATGTGCAAGTTTGTGTGCTATTGTCAACGCTATTTCTGTTGTCCGATATGTTGGATCGCTGCTGTTATCGTAGATAATTTTTGATTCACTAAAAGACACAATATTACATGATATAATTATGTAAAATATTTCTGAATATCAGTCAAATGTTTTCCTGAGTAATTACAGCGTAATTACGTTATTCATAATATTTTTACGTAAATATTTCACATATTTGAAATATATATATATATATTTCAAATATGTACATATATATGTATATAAATATATATGTATAGGGTTGGGGAGTAAATAACGCTGGTAGTTTTATCGTTACTTTTTGTAAAAACAATTTGATAGTAACGTTGCAATTTTATGTCGATAAAGATAACTGTAACTGAAAGTTATAAAATTGAGAAAGTCATTTTTGAGAAGTAGCTTATCATTATTAAACGTTATTTGTTGAAAAAAAGTAACTCATTACTTGTATAATGCATCAATGCGTTACTGTTACATATACTTTAGCTCGTTACAAATAATGAGTTACCTTCTTTTAACAAATAACTTTTTTCAATAAATAACGCGTAATGGTAACAAGCTATTTTTTTCATAAGTGTCTTTATCTTTGACTTTCAGTTAGTTATCATCATCAAAAATTACAATGATATTATCAAAACGTTATAATAAAAAGTAACGACAGAAGTAAAGGCGCTATTCATCCCTGTATGTATAATATATAAATATATGTTTATACAAATCCAAACTTATATACAGGTTACAAACTATATATACATATAAGTTTTGGCCAATCGCTTTTGTATAGATAAAGCAGACTAAACTGAGTCGAAAAGTTCTCTACCATTTTACAATTTTCGCAATAGTTAACAAGATATTAATTATTAAAAATTGCCAAATATCTTGAATAATTTTTTACTCAAATACTATCAATTTTACAGAAAAACTGCAAGAGACAAAAATTATTTATTTCTCATATTATATCTCATAGAACTATATACATTTTTTTAGAATTTTTCATCAACTGTTTTGTACTACATTTTCTTATTTTTATCAACATGAGAAAATACGGTATTAAAAAATTCTTTAAAAATTCTTAAAAAATTCTCAGAACTTTATAAGAAGAAAATTAATGATTTTTGCCTCTTGCAGTTTTTCTGTAAAGTTGATAGTATTAGATTAAAAAATTATTCGAGATCAATATTTGGCAATTTTTAGAAATTAATATCTTGTTAACTATTGCAAAAATTGTAAGAAACATGGTAGAGGACTTTTCGACTCAGTTTAGTCCGCTCTGTCTATACAAAAGCGATTGGCCAAAACTTACAGGACACCTTGTATATATTATGTTTGGACAATTCAAATATTCAAGCACGTATTTTTTTGTTATCTGTGAGATGCGCACCGCGCACGTATCATAAATTACTAAATTTTGAATGCTAGAATTAACATTGAGTAGCTTTATAATAGCTTTATAAATTTTTTATGAACTGCATATATATTACTCATAAGTGATGAGGCCCCAATTTTCCATGCCGTCGACTACAAACTCTGGTATCAAGACGTAATCCATTTTGGGTACCTTCTGGGAACTATTCGTATATTTAATCAAGTATTTTACAACCTTTTTAGTAATATTGTGTGCCAATGTTACTTTCGATGTTAAAGATTTACACCATATATTGATGTTATCTTTCGCGTTGGGAACTTTGACGAGATTGGACATCACAATCGCCACAATATAAGTGGACATTATAGGTGTGGTCTTGAAATTTGTACGTATCATGTCTTTTTGTTCCAAGAATTTCTTTTGTATTGGCATATTTGACAGTACACTGTACTTCCGATGATGCAATACGGAGATGTTGAAGGTGGCTTTTAATGCTGGCTCGTCCCAACATGGAAACATTCGTTTGGCGCCATTTGGCTCGAAATGTGTTACAGCTAACCACTTGCTGTTTAATAAAATGTCTTAAATGATAACAAATTTTTTACTTATATCCTCTAATATAAAAATTTAATAAAGACTAATTACTGTTTATTTTGTCATTTGTATTATTAGATGTAATACAAATTTTAACAATATAGCAAAAATTGAGATACTGTCCGGGAAAAAATTTTATGTGTATGTGTGTGTGTATGTGTGTGCATTTAGACATATTTTATATACAATACATATAATTATATATAATTGTAAAATATATCCATAATTATATATGAAACATTTTTTCCTGGATGCATATCTGTGCCGTTTTAATTTATTTGAAATTGAAGTTACCGTTCAAAGTATTAAAACGTGCATTATATTTTAATGGATATATACATATATGTATATTATAATTATATTTCATCAAAAAAACTTTTTAAGTGTAGGTAGAAACAAATGATAGAAGCAAAAGAAAATAGTAACAAAAATTGTCTATGGTTGCGTTCAGCAGAGAAAATTAATCAGTTAGCGCTTAGTGATTCTTTAATAAGATTGGTTCCTACATTAGATTTTGTGAAGAACTAAAGATAAGAACCATAAACTGATTAGTTTTCTTGCTAAACGCAGTCATTATGTTTTCATGTTTCAATATTTACTTACGTGTTTTCTTTATAAGTTGTGTACGAAAATTTCATAAAACCCTGTTTTTGAGAAGGATTTGATAAATTACCGGAAAATTTCATATTCAGGATGTACAGACCGGGCGATAATACGTCATTAAAATCCAGTGTTAAAATGTTGGTTGTTACATTGTAAATATGTTTCATCGGTTTATAAACCGTACTGTTGTCATTAATCAATGTTGTCGCCGTTTCATTTATTTTTAATTCTCTTGAATGTAAGCTTATTTTTGATGATACATAACGAATTTCGATATTGACACTGGATTCACCGTAAAAAGTAAAATTGCCTTCGGCAAGATACGGTGTCAGACTGATGTTATAGTGGACTGGTATCGTGTTATTCGGTAATCGTTTAATAATTTCTCTAATTTGACCGTTGCAAAGAATCGTTCCGATGGTCAATATTAGGCCAATATTTAATAACAACTTTAGAAATTCCATATCGAATCCCTCTTTTTACGTACCTGCGATCGTTCATTAAAAAAAAAATAAAAAAATACAAAGTTATTGTGGTTTAACATAAATTTTTACATAAAAATGAAAAGAATTGGAAAACATAAATTTTGCACTTTTTTATTGTAAGAATCATACGTATTTAATATCTGTTGAGTATATTTTGATGTACTTATAATTAATTTATCTTGTTCTTTTTTTTTATAAGATTTTTCAAATAAATTAATTTATTCCATTTAAAAGATAATTTTAGATATTTAAGTAGCATTATTTACATTTGTCCGTAAAGAATATTTGCTATCAAAGTTAAATAACATGAACACATTGTTGTTATATAATATTTGAATTGTTTAACCATTGGTTAGAGCAATTATTAAAAAGGAAGGTTTTGCTCTCGGGAATTATAAGATTGAATCTTAGAATTATAATTGTTATTTCTCAGTTTCCAAATCAATTCAAAAGTAAAAATAAATAATTAATTAATTTATTTCGTAAACAAATTATTAATGGAATTGTCCACAATAAAAAATAGTTTAAAACTTTTATTAATTTGTTATTTTTACACGTGATATTTATCTGAATATTTTCCTTTTATCATTTTTGTGGAGTATTCCTCAAATATGTGTGTGTGTGTGTGTGTGTGTGTGTGTGTGTGTGTGTGCGCGTGTGCGTGTGCGTGCGTGCGTGCGTGTGTGATATACAGGATAGAAATAATCGATCATTTGAAATATCTCGCTTATTTTTGATGATATAAAATAATATTTTAATCTTTCTCTCTCTCTCAAAAGTAGAAGTATCTCGTGGGGAACGTATTTTGATCATATTGTTTTTTTTTCTAGGTAGAGGCGCCAAAAAGATATGTAGATTACGTACACTTTTTTAAATCGAGTTGTATGATTTTTTTTACACAATATGATACCTCTAATTATTCTACATGTAAAAGTAAATATTAAGGTATATGATATTAAAGTAATATTAAAAAACCAATAGTTGATGAGATATTTTACACTTTATTCTGGCACATATTGACATAAAATGTTAAATAACTCATAAACTATTAACTTTTTGATAATCGTTCGTTAACACTTTTATGAACAGAATAATGAGATAAAGCAGTTGGTGTAAAGAAAACACATATTTAGTTGCTTTAAAAAAATATGTATGTAAAATGGATAATTTTCTAAATAAGCAATTATGTTTTCTTTCCACCAACTAATTCATCTTATTGCTCTGTTCATGAAAGTATTATGGTACGATTATCTCGAAAAGTTAATAGTTTACGAGATATTTAATATTTTATGCCAACATGTGACAGAATAAAGTATAAAATATCTCGTAAACTATTTGTTTTTTATTATCATTACCTTAATACTTTTATGTGCAGAATAATTAGAGCAATCATATTGTGTAAAAAAAAAATCATATAAATCCATTTAAAAAACTGAAGGTAACCTTCATATCTTCTTGACCTCCATCTAAAAATAAAACAACATGACCAAAATACGTCTCCCTCAAAACACTTCCACTTTCATATATTTAAAACATTTTTTTATATCATCAAAAATAAGCAAGATATTTTATATGGTCGATTTAAGTAGACCACCTTGTATATAAAAATTCTTAATGTATGAAAAATAAGTTCTCGAAGAAATGAAATTAAACTTAGTCGTATTCTATTTTATGAAATGATTGGAGTTATATTTCACATATTTTTCATAACTTTAATGATGGATAGACATTAATTAAATTATTATTTTTTAACGACTTACTTTGTATGTTACACCTTCGTGCAGATAAAAATAGAATTGACTCGCATTAATTGTAATTAATTAATTACAACTGTCGATTTTTGAATATCGCAAATACTTCAGCATAACTGCGCGATTGTCGTCTTATCACCTCGAAAGATTCCCAAATAATGACTACAATGTCTCTGACGCTATTGTAAATACGTCGTACGTGTCAATATAAAGACTACCTTTACCAAATTTTGAACTGTGTATTTTTGTTTTCAACAACGCATGTTGAAACTTATAAGGCGGTATTAATAAATTATGATCGGATCTTGTATTTAGGACCATCTCTACAGTTTTAAGATGTCATGAATAAATCAGAAGGCTGCATTACTTAGCAGCTTAAGAAATTATTTAAGACGATCTTAAAATAAGAACCGATTCTGAATACCGGTATGAATAAAGTCCTCGACAAAAAAACGTTACGAAAAATTGAAAATGAGAAGCTCTACATAAAGAAATTCAACAATAATAATAAATATTTGATAAAAATAAAAATAACATAACAAGATTACATGCTATAGTTCATTGGCACCCCAAGTATCACAAAAATTAATTTTTATTACGAAATTCTAAAGTTCTCGAAGAATTCTACAGTTCCTGATAGGTTTCAGCGACAGTTCCGGCCTGTAAGTATTTTTAAACAATTTTTTAAAGTGAGAGCCAGCACCCCACCGCAAGAGTAAAGTACCGCGTAACGATCAGTTCTCGCCGACTTTTTGCTATTTTCCTATTGTTTTGCAATAATTTCAACGCTTTCTAGAGGTTTTTATCAATGTTCCTATTTTTAAAACAGTCACTGGTATGCGTAAACTATCAAGGACTGCCATAAAACGATAGGGACTATCGGCATCGCATACTTATAAAAAATATGCTACCTACAGTCAGATTAAAAAGTTATTTAATGATACGTAAGGGCGAGAACTTTATGCGAGACATATTGAAAGCGTTAGAACTGAAATATTGTTTAGGCGTTCCATTACATGGTATTTTACTGTTGTGGTGCGGTGCTGACTCTGACATTAAAAAATTCTTTAAAAATACTTAGAGACCAAAACTCTGTGCAAAACCTACAGAAAACGTTAGAACTATCGTAGAACTGTAGGAAAATAGCAAAAAGTCGGCGGGAACTGGCTGTTACGTGGTACTTTACTCTTGTAGTGGGGTATTGGCTCTGACATTAAAAAATTATTTAAAAATACGTAGAGACCAGAACTCTGTGCAAAACCTACAGAAAGCGTTAGAACTATTGTAGAACTGTAGTAAAATAGCAAAAAGCGAGAACTGACCGTTACGCGGTACTTTACTCTTGCGGTGGGGTGCTGGCTCTCACTTTAAAAAATTGTTTAAAAATACTTAGAGGCCGGAACTGTCGCTGAAACCTATCAGGAACTGTAGAACTCTTCGAGAACTTTAGAATTTCGTGATAAAAATTAATTTTTGCGATACTTGGGGTGTCAAGTTGGCACCCCATTTATAAAATTTTTTTTTTTTTTAGCTAAATCAGCGGAACTATTGTTAAAACTTAGCAGGAACTGTAAAACTGTTGTGGGTGCAAACGGAACTGTGTATAAAATATCGATTTTTTTCAAAATGGGGTGCCAACTTCACACCGACTGGTATTTGTGCATATGTTTGATATATAACTTTCTCCCGAAAGTTGCAGCTGTTGCCGATCAATGCTTTACGGAAATATTCTTGTAAATAAACTTCATTTTCTTCTTCTGAGAAGTTAATTTGTTTAAAATGGGAAATGTGCAAATGTAAGCAAAAAAATTAAAGTTATGAATACTATAAAATTATCTATAGAAATGTTTTTATTGTATATAATAATAACTATTGTTTAAATGAAAATACCTTTATTATTTAGCTGATTTTTTAATACATTATGACACACATTATTATTTCAAGTTTTCTATTCTAAATCAAACATCTATAAAGATAGTAATAATAATAATAATAATGGTATTAACTGTTTAGAAATTGTTATTAAATAGTTTCCCTAGATATACTATAAAAATATTGAAAAGTTTTAGAAAATCAAATTAAAATAATTTAAAAAATGTTTACAAGATGGTAGTAATAGATAAAAATAATATTATTACAAAATTCATATAGGGGTAAATATTTGTTTTGCATTACAGTTCATCTTTTTGATTAATCAGATCAATGATCGCTTAATGAAGTATTCTTTTCTGTATAAAAAAACCACTTCCTAACATACTGTACGATATTACTAAGTTGTTCCTTACGCTTTTCTGTCAATATTCGAATTTCATACAAAGTGTCTGGATCTTGATTAAAATTAGTTTCTGAGAATGTTTGTACCTGGAACAGATTAGTTCGAGATATTGAATAAATAATAATTCGTTTTCATATAGCGCAATTCGATACAATATGTAATTTTCAATTTAATATAATGTTAAGATGAATATACATATATGATGTATACAAATAATACATTTAATTTCTTAGATGCGAAAATAGGCATTATTTTTTATGCGTATATGTATATTATGTGTACATATATGCCGTAAAAAAAATTTCTTTTATTTAAGAAAGCCCTCCTCAAGAGAATCGAATGGTTTACTAAACCACGATAGAATGATTTTCTTGAAATTTTTTTTAGGTTTTTGTGGATTAGATCATCGGTTTAATATTGTATTAATTCGTGAATTAAACAAGTTCAGTTCATATTATTTTAAAGCACGTGCCTATTTTATACTATATTTTTATAATATGATTCTCCTTAAAAGTACAAAAATACAGTCTAAATATGCAAACACATAAAGTAATTATTAATATGAATATTAATTTATAAAAAATTAATATTATTAAATTACATAAAGTTGAATTAATTCATAATTCCGCCTGAGGAATAGTTTTTCATTTAAATCGCAACACAGAAAATTTCAATAATATTGCAACAACAATAATTTGCAATATTTCAACAATATTGCAATAATATTGCAATACTACAGCAATATTTTATAAAATATTCTGTGTTGTACGGGTTTTAAAACGCTATGGAAAGGTCAATAATTAGTATGTGAATAGTAAAATTACCTTGTCAATTTGTTCGTTAGAATAAACATTCTCAAGAATAAGTTCTATCGCTGCAGTTATAGTAAATAATCTATATAAAGACAAAATAATGTATAGAATTAATAAATTTTTATAATTATATAAAGAAAATAATAAAGGAAAGTCGTCGATACTGACATAGGTCTCTTAAAGTAACACCCCCTTATTTCTCAGAAACTAATGCACTTTATTAATACTAATAAAATCATAATCTGTTCAGCTAATTAAAGAAGTACAAACTCATAATTCATATATTTTTGGCTTATTTCTATACCAAATCAGCTAAAAACAAATCCTGTGAATCTAAGAAGAAAATTCTCACGGTGTTCTTTTGCAAATTGCGTAATTAAAATAGTAGTGACTGTATTATTGATAATATTATGTCATTTTAAATGTTTGTAGTTTCATAAATTAGTTTTCTTTACAGAATAGGATACATCTTTATTTATAGAATAGAAATGTTGGCATTATTGCCTATTATGTCAGTTTTGGAGCTCATTTTGTCAGACGCTCATTTTTGCATAACTTACGAAAAACTTAATTATTGCAAAATTGCGAACAGTATTATAAAAATTGCTTATACTATCTGATAGAAGATACTTTTTACTTTGTATTTATGTTTTTGAAGTTGTATTTTTACCTTTTGTTTAAGAAATATTATCTAAAAACAAAGTGATATGTCGGTATCGGTGATCTTCCCCTACTATAGTATACATTTACGAAGAGAAATATTAATACCTAGGTTTTATAATCCCAAAATTTTTTAATACGTAGTCACGGATTTTGTCATTGCGCGCATGCTTCTTAAGAACATCATTGAAAACAAGAGAATGCTCATTGTGAAATAATGAAGTGTCCAATGATATAATATTTAAATAATTGATAATGATATCAGGATCTTCAGCACAATTCAAATATTCTAATATATGTTTTTCGAATTTTTTATTTTTTAGATATAATTCCAACATTTTATTCCAAGTAGTCATATTGGCTGCCATCATACCAGTACAGTAGTACATAGATTGATCCTCATATAGAATTCTAAAATATATATCTATAATCAAAAACTGATACATACATTTAATACGTATAACGACTATCTATTTTACTAATTTTAAATTTTGTATTTTTACGTATACGTATTATTAAGCAACCTTATTTTGTAAAATGGAATTCCTGTTCTTCCAATCTTATAAGCAACGGCATATTTATTACATCGTTACATTATTAGAATAAGAATGGGGATTCACAAGAGAATCAGTTACTTTTTAATAGTTAAATAGTTGCTTTTCATTTACACCGATTCTCAAATAATTCTCACTTATGACGTCATAATTCAGTTGAATGCACATTCCTTTTGCATTCTGATAAGTGAGATTCAACTGAGTTTTTACCTACAATTTGCACACAAGATCGAGACCGTGTGTTTTAGTGAGACTCCTAACAGCACAAAAGTTGTAGCAATATTACACGTTGCAGCATTGTTGCAGTAATATCGCTGCAAGTTTTGTGCTGTTGGAGTCATGTAAACTCACTTTAAAAATGAGGTTATAATCCTGTGTTGTCATGTGTAAGTTTTACTAAAGTATAAACCAAGTAATAACGTCATTAATCTGAGTACGAAATACTTAGCTTACTTCGGGCTCAATTTCACTTGTATGTAAATGGAAAGCAACTAATATATCCATATACATACGCACACGCGTACACACACACACACACACACACACACACACACACACACACAGAAATACAATTTACGAGACAATCGTGAGTATAAGAAATTTACTTGTGAGTTTCAGGATGCACGAGATGTTCACTTAATTTAAGTGCGGTAATTTTCTTGCATTCCTCGTGACCAAGAGTACATGCCCATTTTAAGACGCTTAGCCTTGTCAGTTTTGTGACAGCATCATCATTAGGATTGTCTATGTATCCTACATAGTGAAGAAGTCTCTCAAGGAGTTGCACTAAACGTACCTAATAGAAATTGTAAATTAATGTATTTATTTTATATTGGTTCTTTATGGAAATACATAAACTACATATAAAAATATACATATATAATTTCGTTTTATAAAATAAATTCAATAATTGATGTATGTATACGACCTCATAGCGTAAAAAAAAAATATATATATATATATACAAGATGTTCCGTTTTAATTGCCACACTAAAATATCTCGAGAAGGAGACGTGGGATTAAAAAGTTTCAGACGAAAGTTTCAATAAAATAAAAAATATTTTATTATAGTGTTTTGAAAAGCTTTCGAGGTAAGTTACGAGAATATACAATGGAAAATAAGGAGTCCTTTTTAAAAAATTCAAAGTGACCTTGCTCTGATCTTGACAACGTTACCCAAGGTCATATCTATGATACCATCTTATGTCCCTCTCAAAATCATATAACTTTTGTCTGAAACTTTTTTTTCCAAATTGGACTGGCCTGGTTGTTTCCTTTATAATTGTATATAGAATTCTTTGTATAATTGTTGTTCTTTAATATATATTTATATTTTTTTTTAATACTATGAACCTTCGCTATAATATGAAAATGTCAAGTACAAAAAAAAATCGTAGTTTTAATTATAATATATAATATATTACATGCAAATAACAATATTTTTATATGTGTATACTTTTAAAAAAATTCGCAAATTTTATTTGAGAATATAACCAATTTGTGATAAATTAAGATATCCGCATTGCAACTTTATATAACTTGGATTGAAAAATCTACCTTAATATGATAGAACTCTTGTAGTAAAAGAATGTTTGGCGAAATACTTTCTATCATTTGAAATAATGGTAGCCATGGCGCATATTCTCTTTCTTTAGAGAGATAACTTATCAGATCAACGAATAAATTCCCGTTTATTCGATCAGCAAACACCATAGCAAGCAAATCAATCATGATTTGAGCACGATTAAGAACATGTATATTTTTATATTCTTTACTATTTAAATAATGTGAAATTTTTTGATAATTCTTGCTATCGTAACTAACACGATAATATCCTGTTAAATTTTTATTACATACATTATTAAATCCTTTTAATTGAATTTATGAAGATATATTTTTACATATTAAAAATTATTTTGCATTAATTAATGTTTGGCGAAATTTAGAAAATTCAATCAAATTTCCATTAAACTTAAACTTTTTTATAAATAAAAAGATACATAAATGCATTGAATGATGTAAAACTTTTGTAATGATAGACAAATAAAATAAATAAACGAAGCGTAAGTTGATTCATACTTACCAGTTTGTTGTAAATTGACAATAATCCAATCATTTGGATTAATTGTAAAGCTTATATTATGTTGATCTGGTCGTAACCAATAACGAGGTACAGTATTGGAAAAATCCGGATTGGATTGCGTAGCGAAAGTTATAGGAATCCACCATTTAGTTATAGTTTTAGTAATCTCATTAAATAGTCGGACAGGTGTTTGTGATATTGTCACTTCGCCAGTTTCGTAATTTCTTGCCACGTCTACAAAAGGATAACGTCCTTGGTTCATCCAAGTATCCATCACTTCTTTTATTCTATAATCTTTGTGTGGGACATCAGATTCATCTAGAGCACTTTGCATGGCGCTCCACAAATCATCTGGACTGGCCGAACTAAATTGACTAAATTTGAAAAATGACAATTGTCAGTCGTTGCAGTCATATATCGAAGAATATACATTGACTATTAAAGAATCTGTACGGATATTAATGTGCAATTGAATATACATACATATATATATATATATATACATGTAAAAAAAACTTCAAATAAAACTTAAAAAACTATAACTTAAATTGAATTATAACTAAATAAGAAGTAAGAAACGTATAATTTATAATTGAATAGTAATGAGATATTGAGCATTTAAATTCAAATTTCTGTCATATTATATTTTTCAATATATATACAAGTACTTATTACATCCATATACTTAATATTGTGATGTATAATAATTTCAGACTACATTATACACTTACTGCGTGGTTAAATACGTAATGAGACCTTTTCTAAATACCTCATCAGTAATTGTATTATGTAACATGCGCAATAAAACTGGCGCTATGATAATAAACATAAAAAATGTCAATTAATAATAATTAATACATTCAAAGTACATATGAAATTAATATCTGTTATATGTAAATAGTACACTAAAGAAGAATTTGCTATTAGCTTTCTGTTTTATCTTTTATTTTGTATAACTATGCATTAAAGAATTTGTGAATAATAATTTAATTTTATTTACATAATCTACCTTTTTTATAAACTTCTACAGAAAACAGCTCCTTTTCGAAAGTATCGTCAAGTTTCAATGTGACAGAATTCATTGAACCTATATCTCGAAGAAAACATTGCTGTATTGTCCGAATTAGAAGAAAATCTATCAACCGCGAATCTTGGAAAATCTGAAATAAGAAATGTTTCGCTGTGACTAAATATTAAAAATTCGAAGAGAAACTCGCATTAGAAATACAAAACTAGTTTATTTACCATTTCCACAAAAATACTATTCTACATTTCATTACACCGAATTGTATAAACACTTTCAGATCGAATCTTTTTCAAGAAGAGCATACCTAATTTAATTATTTTTAAAAGTTTTTTGGAGATTACTTAATATGAAAACACAAAATTAAGATATGAAAATTCAAAATGTTAAATTTTATTAGTGCAGAAAATAAAATATTTTTGAATTTTAATGAAAATATTAGCGTTCTTACGATTTTTGATAAAAAAAAGTTAAAATAGTAAATCTTCAATAGATAAATAGAAAAAAAACGAACGATTTTTAATTTCCAATAAGAATTTTTATTTAAATGTTTATATAATTATTTTAAAAAACGCACATTTTTTTATAATTCTAAATTAAAGCATGTCCTATTTTTTATTCAGTTCCTCTTGAAAATATAGTATTTAATTGCATTTAATTAGCATTACTTTAAGAAGTACTTCAACACCTTTTCTTTATAATAACAATTTAAGATTAATAATAATTGAGTAACCTTGTTTGTTATGTACATTTCGAAGAACGCAGCAAGTCCCTCGCTTAACCACAGATAAGACCACCAAGATGGAGTCACCAAATTGCCAAACCATTGATGTGCAAGTTCGTGTGATACTATCAACGCTATTTCTGTTTTCCGATATATTGGATCGCTGTCATCGTAGATAATTTTTAATTCACTAAAAAGACACAACGTTACATGATATAATTATGTAAAATATTTCTGAATATGCAGTTCGAATGTTTTCCGAGTAATTATATTATTCATAATGTTCATTTGCGAATAACTCAGTTTGGTTGTTTTCTTTTCATATACATAATGTAAAATATTTATGGGAGTGAAAAAAAGGAGGAAATGTAATGTATTAAATACGTTAACTATTTATAACAATCTAAGCATGACAACTTGTATTTTTGAATATTTATGAGGTAAGCATATGTTTTAAATTTCTAAGCTTTGAATGCTGAACGTAACGTTGATTAGCGCGTTATAATAGCTTAATTAATTTTTTTAATTAGAAATATTACTGATAAATGATGAGTCCCCAATTTTCCATGCCACTAATTGTAAAATTCGGTAACAAGAAGTGGTCCATTTTCGGTACTTTCTGAGAACTATTGGTATATTCAATTAAGAACTCTACGGCCTTTTCAGTAATACTGTGTGCGAATTTTACTTTCGACGTCAAAGACGACTTGCACCACATATTGATCGTCTCGTTTGCATTGGGAACGCGGACAAAATCGGACATTACAATCGCTACGATATAAGTAGACATTATAGGAGTGATGTCAAAGTGTGTCTGCATCATGCCATCTTGTTCTAAAAATTGCTCTCGTATTGGCATATTCGACAATACGCCATACTTTTGATGATGCTTTACAGAAATGTTGAAGGTGGCTTTTAATGCTGGCTCGTCCCAACATGGAAATGTTCGTCTGGCGTAATACGGCTCAAAATACGTTGCAGCTAACCATTTACTGTTGGATAAGTATATTACTTTTAAATGATAGAAAATTTGTTACTTATGTCGACTAACATAAGAATTTAATTAACTTAATTATTGTTTATTGTTATCTATCTTTATTATACAAATTTTGTTGAACGTAAAAATCGAAATGCCGCATAACTATATGTCGTTTTGTTTGAAATTGAAGTTGCCCTTTTAAATATTACAATATGTATGAATTTTATATACATATATGCGTATTGTATATGCACATATATACAATAATTATATATATATATATATAATTATATTTTCTCTGAAGAGCTTCTGAAGTGTTGTAACAATGATAAAAACAAATGAAGATAGTAACAAAAAACTTTTTGCAAATAATATATTTTATATATTTTAATATTTACTTACGTGTCGTTTCCTTTACCAATTGTGTATGGAAATTTCATAAAACCTCCTCGTTGAGATACAGGTAATAGATTACCAGAAAATTTCATGTTTAAGATGTAAAGACCGGGTAATAATACATTGTTGAAATTCAATGTCAAAATATTCGTTACATTATTATGAATATGTTTCATCGGTTTATAAAGCGTATCTTTATCATTAATCAATGTTGTCGCTGTTTCATTTATTTCTAAATTTCTCGAATGTAAGCTTATTTTTGACGATCTATAAAGAATCTCGATATTGACATTGGATTCACCGTGAAAAGTAAAGTTGCCTTCTTCGAGATACAGTTTCAGATTGATGTTATAATGACTAGGTATCGTGTTGTTGGGTAAACGATCAATAATTTGTAAATTATTATCGATGCAAGAAACCGGTCTTGTGATCAATATTACGCCAATATTTAATAACAATTTTAGGAATCTCATGATCTCGATTCTTTCTTTACTTATAATCTACAATTTTTCGTTAAATGTGAAATAAATATAATATTGTATAATAAAGTTTAAAGTTATTGTAATTTATTGTTAATTTTTATACAATATTTAAAAAAATAAAAAAAAAACTTTTGCAACTTTTATTAATAGAATTATGTGTATAATATCTACTTTGGGAAAATTATGAATATTTTTTTACATTTGATATTGTGAAGGTATAATATTTTAATGCACTCGTAATTAATTAATCTTATTGTTCTTATTTCCATAGAATTATCTTTTGAAAAAGAAATATATTTAATCTAAAAGATAATTTTAAACATCTAAATAATTTTTTTATATTTGACTTCATAGAATATTTGTCATCAAAAATAAAAAATGTAAACACATAATGTCAATATGGGAAAGAATTATTTATGGTCTAGTCACCTCAAGTGCTCTTGTTTAATTCTGTGTGATTTTATATACGTAAGAGTAACGAATTATTAAATTGCTAATCAATTTAACTCGTCATATTACCTACTGCGGTAGTTCAGTAAAGTTGCATTTCAAGACTGAAAACTTATTTCAGTGCGCAGTTTAAAGGACTACATACTTATATAAATTCACACAGAATTATGTAACCACTTATTCAAAGAACGAAAAGTTTAAATCCATTTCTTGTTTCGATTATTTGACTATTCTAACATATTTTTGTCTAATATCTAAAACACATTATTAATGAAATTCAATATAGTAAACGCATTTTAAAACTCTTACTGATCTATTATTTTTGTGTATGAGTGTTTATCTTAATCCTTTTTTTGTATCGTTTCTAAAGAAATATTCCTCAAACACAGATATATAAAAGATTAAATATATGAAACAGTTCAAATTATTTTAAGGAAAGAAAATAAAAAACTTTTTTCATTATATATTAGATTGTTTCTATCTATTTACCAATAATAGTAATAATCTGAATTTTAGTTTAATTAAATATTTTTTCGTTTATACAACTCTATATGTGTGAAGATTATTTTGAAATTATATTAAATATCTCGTTTTTTAGCTTTCATTATTAATTGTAATATATATAATAGGGGCAGGAATATGTCGATTTATCAAAAAATATATTAACTATAAAAATTTACAAATAGTGAGTAGAGAATCTCGAAGAAACAGATTTAAATTTAATCGTACTTTGTCTTTTAAAATTATTTGAATTATGTTTTATGTATTCTTTTTATACAACGTGCGAGGGATAAACATCCATTAAATTATTTTTAACGACTTACGTTGTATATTACACCTTCGTGCAGATCAAAATATAGTTGATTCAAAGTAACTATAGTTGATTAATTATAGTTCTCGATTTTTTAATATTAGAAGCACGTCAGCGTAATTGCGATGTCGTCAGGTCGTCTTGACATCTTGATTCCGAATGAACATGTACAATGTTTCTGATGCTGTAAATATGTCGTAAGGTCAATATAAAAGGTAAACTTTACCAAATGTTGAACTGTCAATTTTTTGTTTTTGATAACAAATATTGAGACTCATCGAGTTATAAACAATTAAAAATAAGAAGCTTTCCATAGAGAAACTATAATGATGATAATTTAATAAATATTAAAAGTAAATTTATAAGATTATTTTCGACAGTGTATCTTCAGTAGATCTTATTTTTACAGCAGAAATTTAATATTCACAATTACATAAATCCAGAGACACGGTAGTGGCTCGGCGCTAAGAATATAATATACACATGCATATAATGAGAATAGGAAAACTGATATATATTTTCAGATTTTTTGCGATATTTTTAACAATTAGAAATAATTGATTCAAATAATTAGAACAATTGAATAGAAAAATAGATTTAATAATAATCATGCTGTACGATTATAAGATAAAGATATTGGTTTTTTTCATAATCAAAATTTTTTTCCGAATAATATATAACTAATTAAAAAACGTATGCTGCTAAAATCATCGTATTATATTATAAGCATCTGATTTCAGAAATGCTTTACCTAAAACTACAATAAAATAAATTCAGCCTAAATAGCTTTCTATATCATAAAATTCGCGTTTAAAAAAAATAAATAACTGTTTACAATAATCAATAATTTATCTAATATATTGAGCATTGATACAATTAATTATTTATATTTAAAAAAATAGATTTAACTATGAGAAAATAAGGAATTATTTTCAGATTTTACAAAAACAAAATGAAATTTTGTGAAATGTCGAAAATTTCAGAAAATATTTTTATTATCTTCATTTAAATATATCGTTTTATTTAATTATCTTTTCTAATGTTCAAGAACAGAACGTTGCAGAAGAATAGCATACACATATGTTATTTTAAAATTTATTAAATATATTCAATAAATGCATCTCATAAAATATTACAATTGTATAAAGACAGTTTTTGTCGATTTTTCAAAAAATATCAATTATATACATATATCACATGGGTATCCAAACATTGGCATTATCTTCTTCAGTAAAGAAGAATTCAGAAGATTGGTCACACCAACACTATATATTATATAATCTTTTAGATATTATAATCTGGTAAAACATTTTTCATATAAGAACACATGAATATTTACAATTTTATTGTATATAAAATAATAAATTATACATTTGTATGGATAGAAAATATACAACAGAACGGAAATATATATATAGCCAATTTTATATATATTTATATATATTTTTATATGAAAAATTTGTTACCTGAAATGTGTAAAAGACTTATACATTATTTGTGCTATTGTTCTTTTTAAAATTTTCAAACTCATATATGTCTTATCTTAATTTTGGCAATTCAAAATAGTTAATGTATTAAGTACAACATAAAAAAATTTGAAGTTACATGTGCTATCAAATGCAATTTTGTATATTACATATAAAGAATTAATAATTTAATTTTTTTCTTGTTTATTTCCCAAAACTTGTCTGTGTATTTACAATGAATCGATTAATGCATTTGATTGCACATTTTATTATGCTTTATTTATTAAATTAATAAAACCTTTATCGTGATTATTACTATTACTATTACTATTATTATTATTATTATTATTATTATACCGCTTTGTTATATTAATGGCATTCTTAAAACGTTTTTAAATAAAATTTTAATCTAATAACAGGCACAATTCGTAATTATACTAAATTAACATACTTGTTATACATAATGTCTCTTTTTTTCTCTCATTAATCTCAATTATTATGCTTTTGTATTATGTATTAATATATAATACTTTTGTATTATATATTAATATATAATACTTTTGTATTATATATTATAGCTGCATCTCAAACAGATGGAATGTAATCTAATTTATATTAATAACTTTCTACAACATGTTTACACTAAGATCTCCTGTCACATAGAATACAATTATCTTCTACTGCAATATTCAATTATTTGAGCTGTTTCTATATTTTTATGAAGAAATATCCTTTCTCCATTGGTAAATACAGGTACACATTGAATCTTAAATTATATACAATTAAACATTTAAAGATTTTATGTAGAAGATTTTAGTGTACTACCCGAAGTATTTGCATCTTCTTTAGAAATATAATTTTTTGAATAGACTTTGTTTACTTATGATTATATCAAAAGATTTTGAACCACTAGTTACTATATAACCAATAACAAGTTTTAATTATATTCTGTTAGATAATTAAATATGTTGAACTTTGAAGATATATGCAATACTTATTAAGTAATAATGCCTATTACATTTGAATAAAATAAACTATATTTGAAGAACAAAAAACAGTTATAACTTATTTAGTTTATACTTTTAGAAAGTTAAGTTCAAATAAAAATAATATATAATTAATCTTCATTGTACTATAATACTCTTTATTTTTAAGAAAAACGTTAATTAAGTATTGTTATTAAGTATTGTTAAGAATTATTAATCTAAAGTGAATGTACTTATATCTTTAATTAAATTTAAATCGCATGTCGGTGAAAATCCGATCAGCCTTATCATAAGAGGCGATATAAAATATACAAATAGACAGAAATTTGAATACATCTATACGATATATATCAAAGTGATAAAAAGATCCACTTAGCCGTTTTTTGGTTCATCATAATATAAAAGCCGTATAATATAGAATTAAAAAATAAGAATCACCTTTTGCACATCTTGTTTGCATTGTAAAACAAATTACTAGAAATTTTTATTATTAATTTGCATCAAATTGCAATAAATTTTCAAAAACATTTATTCGTCAGAGCGCAAACTTATATCCACAACGCAGTTGGCATCATTCCTTCTACTGTTCCAGCAGCAGGTTTTAAATCTTCATTGCATAAGAAATTTAGTGGCAAATCGACCAAGTGCCCCTGAAAAAGTACACGTTTGATGTGATCAAACAATAAATCTATGCACAAGCATTTAAAATGCTTGACACTTACCTTTATATTCTCCACCATTTCTTGCGCTAATAATGGATCAGATATAGAGAGAGATACTTTTTCTTGATATTGTTTCAATATAGAGAAATTGACTGCTTTATCGGTGGGAATACAGTGAAATACTTCTTCATATATCTCTGTATTTTGTTTGCTTCTAGCGCACCACATGTTCTTGTAGAATGATCTTATAACGATGTCATCGATTTCGATATCTTCTTTAGTATTCAATACTCCTAGATGTTCGCGGAATAATTGTTTTCTCAAAGAAGAAGCAAATTTACCACAAGGAAAAGGTATATCATTCATACGTCCATCCTCAAACTCCTGGTCCTGTTTTGCAAATATTGATTAAGTTGATAAAAAAAAAACACAGTTTAATGATAAAATCAGGGGCTTGTTTTATAAACTAATATAAAGCAATACAATATAAATAAGACAAATGTAATGTAATATACAAATTATAAATTTCAACGTTCTTTTAAAAAATTTATGTTTATGTATGTATAATTTTACATAAAATAAAATAAGCTTGAAATATTATCGATGTTCTTATATA